TGAGTAGGACTCCCAAAGTTGTGGAGGGAAGAAATGAAAGAAGAGAGGAAGACACTTATCGTCTGTTACAAACTAAGTAGTGGACGTGTATCTATCCATCTTTAATGAGGGTCATGGCATCGCTTAATAAAATCCGTCAGTCCTCGATTTTTACTCCTTCCTCTATCAACCTCCTCCGCTCATAAAAGGAGTGTAGAGCCACTGCCATTTTCAACCTTCACAGCCAGACACGAAGAGCAAAGAATTTTGTGTTTAAAGAAAAACAGAACGACCAACGGATTTGTCAAAATGGTGGGACCGAGTAGACCGCAATTTGTTCTCTTTGGATCATCCATTGTCCAACTCTGCTTCAGTCATGGCGGTTGGGGCTCCATTCTCTCCGATATCTACTCTCGCAAAGTATTCCTCTTTCTCCATTTGTTTATTTTATATTTCACGTGTTCTTTGAATGTTGCTTTGATTTGTTTCTTTTCTATTACATATAAATTGAAATGAAGATTTTCCCTAATGATATTTATTTCACTGTTTTGGCTAGTTAATCCCAGCGCTGATTAGTTGCCATTTTCATCGTCTGATTAGGCTAATCTTTTTCTGTTTGCAGGCAGACATATTGTTGCGAGGCTACTACGGATGGAACTCGCGGCGTGCTGTCCAGGTTCTCGATCAAGTTTTTCCCAAGGTATTTTCGTTGATATAATAATTTCTTTTAGGAGCAGTTAGACGTAAAAATTGCTCTATTTGAGGAATCTCATCTCTAAGTAGGTGAAATTGATCGTGCTATTAAATGGGTTTTATGTTTTGTAGGATGCTCCTGTGCAACCAGCTCTGGTGATAGTTTATTTTGGTGGTAATGATTCAATGGGGCCTCACTCATCTGGCCTAGGCCCTCATGTACCCCTTGATGAATACATGGAAAACATGAGAAAGATTGCAATTCACCTCAAGGTTTTCTCCTGGTTCTCAAATAATACGATCTCACTATATATAAATAGATCATGGTTCACATGTATACTATGAATGATCAAAGCAATTCTTGTCCTTATGTGATGAATATTGGGGTAAACTTCCTTTTTAAGGAGAATGAAATCTGGGAGGTTTTTATGCTGCTCTCGAATACCTTTAAATGATTAAATGCTTGTTATTCATTTCCTGATTGCTGGACTATGTCCAGTTATTCTTTTGTTGTGTATATTTTATAATTTGGCCCTGCAAGAACTCATCAGAGAATGATGTTTGATGCTTCATCTAACACTAGATATTTGAAAATCAGAGCCTCTCAGATACAACCCGCATCATTTTTATGAGCTGTCCGCCTGTTGATGAGGCCAGAGTTAGTTCAAGCACAAGGTGCTCTGATTCGTTATTTTCTTATCCTTTTTTTTTTTTTTTGTTTCTGATCATAGAAATTCTGAACCGTCTGTTTTTCTAAATTCAGTGGAATTTTCAGTGAAGTGGTACGAACAAATGAGTTGTGCCAAATATATTCCAATTCTTGTATAAAGCTATGCCAGGAATTGGGAGTGAAGGTTGTTGATCTTTTCTCTGCCTTTCAAAAAAGAGATGGTTGGACCACTGCTTGCTTTACGTAAGTTTTCTTCATCTTCCTTCTGCTAACAAGATCAATGTTCAGAAGTGTATATAATCTTATGTATTGTTTGGTCTCCCTCATGTATCTTCTATGAGTTTTCTATATGATGCTTACATGTGGTGGTATTTTCCTTGCACACAATTATCGATGAGGCGTAGTTTCTGTTTCTCTCATATTTGGATTTTTTTTAACTATCACATTAATTATTTTTTTTTACAAACTAGCACCGGCCAAAAAAGATATTGAAATATAACATAATTTGGTAAAAGTTGTTGTTGAAAAACATTACTTTAAAAAGTTCGGCTGGAAATAAAGGTATTTAAAAATTATTAAAATGGACTGGCACAAATTCGAAGAAAAAAAAAAGATAGGAAAAGAGAAAAAAAAAGAGAGAGTGAAGTTTCGATAATAACACCCTCGTACCATTAAAAGATCTCGATGACACTTAAAATCATTAATAGTAATTAAAGTAGGCCACATGCATTCATTATTTTTGGGTGGCACGTGTTGGCCCTCTCTAACCACTATTAATGAATTTTCTGATGTTATTAAATTTATTTTGTTAAGATTTTTCTGATGATACCAAAGGTATTATTAACGAAACTTCAATGTGACTTTTAGATTTTTTTTTCCTTTTGTCTCCTCTTTCTTCCTTGCAATTCATGTACTTCCATTTTACCATATAGAGATTGTTTATCTCTGTGATTCAAATGGGCTTTTCATAAATTTTGATTTATAGTTTTTTTAAATTGTTTTAATGTGTTAATGTAAAAAATAAAAAAAATATTATTTTAATATATATATATATTTTTAAAAAAATACTTTTAAAAATAACTATTATCACAATACTAAACACCACCTTAATATCACAATTCCCATACGTTAATTTCCAACTATGTTATTTCTCAAAATCATTTATGACTGGTGCTAGTGCCAATTTCACGCTCGTATTTGTTTGTGTAGATAAAACTTCCAAACCTTCCGCACTTTGCTCGTTTTTTTGTTTTGTTTTTGTTAATCTGGATAACAGACTCCTTGATTGTTTACTTTTGTGGTTATAAGGATAGTTGCTCGTAATCTTGGGATATGTGTAAAAACATTAGGTTGAAATCCAAATGCTTGCCTGCACAGTTTGCAGTATGTTGCAGTGTCATTTGTCTATGGGAACTCACGGGCTGCAGATGTAATCTAGGGACTATCTGCAAAAATCAGATAAACGGTCCCCATTTTCAGTTTTTGCATTGCCGTGAAAAGTTAGGCCATCAACGTGTTTGCTTTCCCATGATGAAAAGATATTATTAGCCAGCTTTGATGGATTAGATTATGTTGTTGTTTCGGATGGTCTTCTTAGGGCTAAAACTTATCACTTTTGGCAGTGAGACCACTGTCAAATGAAAGTTTCAATCAACATGATTTCTTGCATTCATGTCTTAAACCCAACCATCACTGGATTTCAGTGTTCTAAAGGTTGGAAATTTCAGATTGAAAAACTAATAATCAAAGTTTTGAGTTTGATTTGAATTCAAAATGGATTTTGAATTTAAATGTTGTTTTCAAGGTTGAAAGGGGTTACTTTAATGGTCTTTTTGGTGGTCATGGTGATGGAAGTTTGGTGGTGAACAGTTATAGAAGTGATCTAATCCAAACACTTCATAGTTCATGTATTAAAATTAAAAGAGAGAAGGGTTTTTCTTTTGTGGTTTAGTGGTCTTTTAAGCATTGGTCTTTCTTAGTGCAAAACCTAAAATATTTTCTATGGACTCATCGAACTTGAATTTTATTCTGTTGAAACTTGAGAAGACTTCCTGGTTTTGGAATTTGGATGCTAGATTTGCACCTGTTTTGGATATTGGAGTCAGGTATATACGAGCGAAGCCTGTAGTCCAATACATGTTATCTCTAAATAGATGGTCTCTCCTTCATCCTGTATGGAAAGGCAGGCCGTGCTGGTTAATTTAGCTCACAAATCACTAGATAATTCCTCCTTGTTACAATTTTTACTAGCTAATGTTAGCTTCCATTGGGAAGTACCGTCATGATTTAAGATTGTCAGGTTGTCTTCTCCTTTTACCACAACAATCATAAAAAATGTAAATCGAATGTCTTTGGTTGACTTAAACTGGTAGTAACGTGTTTCAACTTTCAATTTTATTGTTTCCCCCTTCACTTTTTTCCAGAGATGGCATTCATTTATCAGCAGAGGGGAGCAAAATAGTTGTGGAGGAGATTCTGAAGGTGCTAAAGGAAGCTGAGTGGGTTCCATCTCTTCATTGGAAGTCCATGCCCACCGAATTTTCAGAGGATTCACCATATGATCTTGTTGCTGCTGATGGGAAACGAACTCTAAATCCCTCCGAGTGGACATTTCACCGGGAGGTTCATTGGGACTAGGTTGCAAAACTATCTTTATGCCTTTTTCAAATGCCGGAGCTGCAACTAGAGATTGAAGGAAACAGGCATCCCTTACCAGAGTCGGCATGAACCCTCAAAAAAGAATCAGCCTAGAGTGGAATAATTATAATGCAACTCATTCTTGTCTACTGTTTCTGAACTCCCTTCGTTTTTAATTGAGTTGTTCCTTGTATAGCCGTAGGTTTTAGCAGTAACATTGGTCTCTAAAATGGCATGGATGGTGCTGTTTTGAATAATATTCAAATGCACCAGCGCCATTTCTCGCAGAGACTGCATGGTTTCAAGACGAACCCATCACAGGTGGTTCCGGTGCCACTTTGTTCCTTGATTATCATTACATGCATGGTTTCAGCATGATTTTTCCATCTTAAATCTCTCTTCATCGTGCCTTTGAAATTGACTGTTTCGAAGTGGATGGTGTCCACTACTATGGTCATGGTATAAAGTTGTCTCTCTTTTTTCTTTTTCTTTTTTTTCAAAAGCAGCTCTACCATGATTTACGAGAGTTCAATTGTAATCTGTAGTTTAGCACAACTAATTAATTAGTTCTTGTGGTTTCACAAATTACATATTTAATTTTTATGTTTTCAAATTCATTTTTAATCCTTTCTATCCATTTTCCGTCCCCTTCCAATTGAAAAAAAAAGAAAGAAAGAAGGTGAATATGATGAAAATATTAACGAGAAAATAACTTTGAAAAAAAAAATACAACTAAATTAAACATACCCAACACAGCTCCCATAATTGTTTAATTTTTAATGTTGCAAGAAATTAACGAACTTGTTTTAATAAACTACGAAAGCTAAATTATGATTAACTTGGGTTTTGAAGAACAGGACTGGCGCTGCTTCCATTGCAAACGATGCAAAAATTGAATGTTCCGTTGTCCCTGAGATGCAATAGATATGTGTTTTCAGATATTATGGTGAATTCTTAAGATTCTTAAAAGTAATTGATGCGCTGGAGAAAAAGCTTTTTTCTGAAACTTTTGACCATTTTCAAGCAAGCATACTCCGCTAGTCTAACTAGCAAAACAAAGTGTATACACCGCACCAAATCCAACCTCCAGCCTCCACATTAGCGGCATTAGCCAGCACATACAACATTTGCCCTAGCCTCTCTTATTCTCTCTCTCAGCCGTTCCACAATCAACCACCACCAACAGCCCTCTCCTCCCTTTTATTTCATCACCGACGGCGTCCTCTCACCCTGAGATCCAGACATCAACAACAGACATCGTGAGCTGTTCTGTTTGTTTTTATCCTGTGAGGTCGTAGGGGGGAGTTGCATATAAGATTTCCAAGAGAGAAGATCAAGAAATTGCTCCAACGGTTTGGTTTTTCAACTCAATTTCTTGAATTGCTGTTTTGATTATTTTGGTCGTAGGAAACCTTTTCTTCTTTTGTCCCTGTACACTTGTATTCTTGGACGTTTTAGCTATTGAACAGTCTTTTATTTTTTTCCCTTCCCATCCTGCACTGGCTAGGGACCAACTAAACTAATAAATACACTGTGATATCACAGTGGTGACACTGTTATGGGGAGTTTTTTTTTTATCAGACTGGGGTGGAGAGGGATCAGGGATGATGCATTTCATAATATGTTGTGATGCATTTCATAAAAAAAAAATTGGGAATGGGATCATTCTGTTTAAGTGTCATCAAGAATGACAGTAGTGTTGGCAGAACATGTTAAATTGATGACCAGAAGACTGGTTTCAGGAGGTAAAAAATCTCATTCTGTTTTGTTGAGTTTGCTTCCTCAGAATATTTTCTTGGAAATCTTTGGAAAATCTCTTACCTTTATCAAAATGGGACCAAGACTATAAAGAAAATTTTCCTGATTGATTGGGAAAATATTTTCTTTCTTTTTAAAACCAGCAAATAATCCTTTTGAGTAATCCTGCTTGATAGTAGCCTTTTAAAGAAATAAAATATTTTTAAAAAAAAAAACTAGCAAATAATCCTGCTTGTCAATAATACCAAACTAAACAGCTAGAAAAATAAAAATAAAAGACTGACTTGATAGGTAAAATCTTGTAGAGCATAGATTCCAAGCTCCATCAATCTAGCAGTTGCCCCGCTGCTTTGTTTCCGGTCAGATTCAGAACAATCGAAACAAGATTTAGGAATGTTGAAAATAAATCAATTTTATTACAATTTGTTGAAAAAATCGAATCTATAAAAGAGATGGGTATATAGGACTGCAATCTATAAAATACAATATAATTATGTTTTATTTGCAGCCTGGAGGTAAACACGTGAAATTGCTTCTGCACTAGAGAAGCTAGAAGACCGATAAAATTGATAACATAAAACAATGGCAAATTACTATGACATTGATGGTATTCTCGTGGAGGAAGAGGTGAAATGTTTTGTCCTCACCTTATATTTTAACTCCTAAATCTCGTTATCCTAACATAATCACTTTTCTATCGTGTGTTCACACTGTCTTGCAGTTTGTTCCAGTTGTGTTTCAAAAGGCTATAAATGGAGTGAAAATCGATGAAAGTACTGAAAAAGGATATGTAAGTTTCAAGTAAAATAGCGTTGGAGAAAGATTTCACAAGTCAAATTACTTCATATATTCACCTTGTTTGTGAACGTGTTAATTAAAACTCAGGTTGAACAAGGTTCAAAGACAGAGCTACCTTTCTGGCTTGCTCAAGAATTGCACATGAGGCAAGCTGTATCGATACGTGTTCCTGCCTGTTTTAATCAAAAGTAATTGCCTTGCTCAAATCAAATATTTTTATTTTACATTATGAAGTGAGTTGGTGGGAGATCCATCTTCATATAGGGTTGTTTACTGTCTTAGTAAAAGGGTCCGATTGGTTTTCCCGGTTGTAGTTATAAAGGATAGAAAATTTCTTGTTGAAATTATTTATGTCATTGCTGTTAAAACTTCAATGTAACATGTAGCTCCTTAGAATTATAGAAACTTTGCTCAAGTCCTCTAGGAATTCCTCGATTTTAAAACTTCAATCTAAAATGTAGTTCCTTTGAGTTATAGAAACTTTGCTCAAGTCCGCTGGGAACTCCCTGATTTTAGGTTTTGCTTTCAGGGTTTTATTTAAATTAATTGCTTGTTATGATAGTCGAGTCCCCAAAAAATCATCATATGTGTACATGGAGAATGGTTTGTCTATGCTGTCATCCAACATCTATTTACTTGTACAGTTGCTTTTATATCTTATAGATATTATTTCTTTTTCCTCATCAGAACAAGGCTGGAAATTCAGGCAGATGCTGCTTGTGTGGACCTGAGATCCCGCTGTCCATACTTTTATGAATTTGGATGCAAGCTAGCTCCACTGTGAGTCTCCTTCTCCTGCCTATCTGTTCATGTGTGTATACAATTCCTGTTGTGATGTCTTCTTTTAGTGCCTTTTGTTGAACTACCATGCAAGAGTACCTGCATAAAATGGTGTCCTGCTTGCGAAGCATTTTTTGCTAAGTGATGCTTTCTCGATTTGGAGGAAACATGCAGCTCAATGTGTTCAATATCTTTTTATGACCTTCCCTAAGTGATGCCTTAACCTTTTGACTTTCTCAGTCTGTTTAATCAGATTGACAATTCCAAAACAATCCAGTTATTTGTTGGATACAAAGTTACAAACTAACACATCATGACATCCAAAAGTAGATCATTGTTTTTAGAGATAAAAATCAAATGTGGGCTTCTCCTATGTCAGAGCAATAAGGTTGGCAACCGGAAGATTATGGAGTGCTTTCAATTTTAGGATATCTTCAGTACTGTAACTTGAAAATATCATTTCATTACCAATCTGTGCCATTCATGAATTTACTAGTGTCTATCCTTGTCTGCTTCATTAGACTGTTTTAAAGAAATTATTTGGATAAGAGTGTGGCATTCTTTTTAGACCAAGACAAGTTTTCTGTTAGTGATTCCAGGTTGCTTAGTTTTATCTAGGTTTCATTTATTGGTAGACTTCAGTGTACCTGAAGTCTAGAAGCAAAAACTATCTGTTTTCATTCTCAAGTCCAGGGATCAACTGAAGGCCCATATCGAGATGCTTGCAATAGAAAGGAAACAAATGGGAGAAGTAATCTGTCAAAATGAATTACTTCACTCCATGCATTATGATTTTCTGTTTAGCTTTGAGAAGTTTATGTGTTGTGAATGGGGTCAAATGCTTGACAATCAATATTGTTCATGGGCCCTTTTACTTTGTGGTCAAACCCCAATGCTTTAGACATACACTGTACCGTGGTTGAGTTTACATGTTGTGAAGGCTGTGCTTGGCAATAATACATCCAAAGTGCACAATTGACAAGTGGTGGTCGAATGTCGGGCATACCTATTGACAGTAAATTTACATGTACACCAGCAATCTTTTGTTTGGCTGACAAGCTGGTGTTCACCAAGCACCTTTTCTTTGCGAGGACTTATTTGGTTATATTCATAATGATGCTTAGGTGTGATAAATCCATTGGATTGTTGCTTTCATATGCATTTCGAATCCGGTATAAGGAAGTCCTGCACAAGGCACACACCACAGCATTTGCAGCAGCTTCCAAATTCCTGATGCTCCTAACTAAAGAAGAAACTTATAGTGAGATTCTTTTACTTTTAAGCGTATATTTTCTGCTTTCATGCCGCACATTTATGTTGCAATGACAGTAATTTATTTGTCTGCATGTTTAGTGTATGAAGCAGCTCAATCATCCATGGCAGCCTTTAAGAAGTGGCGGATGGGTGGCCCCAGATTGCAGAGAGCTTCAATTCTTGGGAGGAAGAGAAAACCAGCTGAATAGGTGCCCATTTCTACCCTGCTGACACTTTCAATTCAAGCACTCATGCTGCTGTTATATCTTGGTCCTTGCCTTGAGATTGATGCATGATGGGTGCATTCTTGCATGAAAAGTAACAAAGCACGTCCTGGTACTATAATAGTTCACTCTCCAGTTTCGTTTTCCTCCTGATAATTTTAGCTTGATATTTAGCCCTAAAGGAAGTTGGGGGCAGGGGTGAGGCTGTTTGGGGGTGATGATGCAACTGCAGTCGCAGTTAGACAGAAACTGACTGTTTACTTGTTGCCATGATAATTGAGTTGATGCGATACATTTCATCTTTAATTCCGTGATTTATAAAAATGATCCCTGCTCAACTGTACATCTATTTCTTTGTAAGCCCAAAACAATCAACCAAAAACTTAAATGTGGTCAATGTAGGCAGAACTTCCGCATAAGATAATATTAATATTTGAATTTGGCTACATGATATGCTATAAGTCTTTTATTTAAAGGGTTTTTGAGAGTCGATAGCAATTTTTTTTCAATTACTTTTAGTTCAGAAAAACATTAAAATCATTTAAAAAATATATATATATACACATCTAAAAATACTAAAAAAATAATTTAAAACAAAAAAAAAATTATAATGAAAAACAGGTTAAAATTCAATTCTAAACACCTTATTAATACAAGTCTTTGTTTCCCTGATTTACAAAGTTCAGTTCAGAAGGTGAGGATTACTCAAAGGAGATTGTCAAGCTGCAAGCCCCGCTTTCTATTCTTGATACTGCTGCGTGCCATTATTTTTCGTGGCTGAATTGATGCATGCTGTGCGAAGTCAGATGGTGGTAATGCATCTCCTAGTGGGCACAAGATTATCAAAACTACACTCCGATAATCCCCACAGCAAATGGCTTTATCATTCCTTGACCCCTTCCCAATATACCCAATATATATATATATATATATATATATATATTTGTCACCCCAATACACCCAATATATATATATATATATATATATATATTGGTCACCTAGATCTCCTGTTGTGGTGATGATCCCATCGTCACCATTCACCGACTTTTCCACATGTTATGAATGAATTGCACATTGCCGTAAATCGTAACTCATTCAGATACATATCATCAACAAGTCTTTGATTTTCACTCTCCACTTCCTCTTCTATAGCTATCACATCCATTTGCCTCTTTACCTGGAAGAAATCGCACTACTTTCAAACTCACATTCAGAGACCCTGCCATCTTGCAAGCATTAGGCTTCATCATGCCCCCGAGTAAAGAGCATGGCAAAATTTAGCTGTTCTCTGTGATGGCTAAACTCATTACAAATGTTCAAAACGAGGCCTTGATCAATAAATATCCCCACAGGGCATGATAGGAGAGTCCTCTTTGTTCATCCCATCTGCGCTGGATTGCTTGAGAAAATGGAATTAGGATGGAAGTCACGCCTAAGAACTATTCAAGCTGGAAAGGATTTGAAGACTATATATATATATATTTTTGTCAATAACAGGATGTAGGACGTATTATCTTACATAACCATGGTGATTTCAACACAAGCTAGAGTTGATGAAATAGTGATTGCATATTTATGTCTCCCAGCATTAAGAATAATCAAAGCCCGTTGGCGTTCATAAGAGCTCCAAGGGCGACACTTCCATGAGCTGGCATACCATAGCACATGGCAACCATGAAACCGCTTATAATCTTGACGAAGTCCCAGAATCATGAGACCACCAGCATTGACAAACAGATCTCTCATGAGCACAAAAAAGGAGGTTTGACCCCTGTGACAAAGTCTTCGAGTTTCTCCATAGTAGCAAGATACCAGGTCGCCAACAAAAGCTGAGGCCATGACCATTTGTCCAAAATCTGTTCGTAGAAGCTTCAGGTCTGAAAGGATCCGAGCAAGATCCGGGACGCTCGTGACTGTCAGGGAAATGGACGAAAACCAGGCACCGAGAGGATTCTCTTTGAATTTTTTTTCCAAGTAGTAGGAGATATAATCCTGCTCCCACGCCTAAGAGGAATAGAATTCCAACCAAAGCATTGCCCCAAGCCCTTTTACTGATTCTTCTTATTGTTTTCTGCAATGTTCGCGTCTGCTCCGATCATTACAGGAATCATTACCAGAATCTCTAACCTATAACTTTGTTGCTATCAATGGGATCAGGATCCCATTGTTTGAGTTTAATCAGTAATGATAATTCAGCATAATTCAACATGATCCTGATCCCTCAGTAGATTGTCTCTCTCACCTCTTATTTTGAGAACTTGGTTGCAGATTGAAAGGAAAGTAACGGTAGCACTGATTGGTTTTTAAAGTATTTTTTATTTAAAAATATATTAAAATATTTTTTTTGTTTTTTTTTAAATATTTTTAATATTAATATATCAAAATTATTAAAAAAATTATTTAAAGTAAAAAAATAAAAATATTAATTTTTTAAAAATATTTTTGAAATGAAAAAAAAAAAAGTAGCAGGCGAAGGATAAGGATCTGAAAGAAACTATCTGATGCATACATAATTTAATAAATAAATAAAAGCAAAAAAGGCGAAAAAGGCTAAAAAGGTAGGTGGTCTTTTGCTGTCGTGGCAAAAGTGGGAATCTGTTACGATCTTTCTTCTAATCCAGTCCAGGTGCTGTAATAATTAATATTCGAAAAAGAAATCACAGACAAGATATTTCTGCAACTTCTCTCGTGTGTTACTTTATGGGTTTTGTAATGGGAGGTCCAGATATTTTTAAGAGTTGTTTTTAATTAAAAATATATTAAAATAATTTATTTATTTTTGATAGTAGTATATCAAAATTATTTAAAATAATTAAAAAAATATTAATTTGCTCGAGGCGGGTTAACCACCCAAATTTCATCTAGCAACTTGTCTCATGTATTAGATGTATAGTGTTTTTCATAAGTATTTCTTAATTAAAAATATTAAATTATGTTTTTTATTATTTATTTTTAATACCAGCATATTAAAATAATTTAAAATATTTTAAAAAAATATTAATTTAATATTTTTCAATAAAAAATATTTTTAAAAAATATAAGTTATCATGATGCTAGACATGCATTCCTTTTCTATAATAACAAGATTTTTATTTGGTTTCACCATATTCTTTGAAACACAAAATATATTACCCAAGTAAAATTCAAATAATTAATTTTTTAAATATCTAAAAAAATAATTGTCAATTTTAAAATTTTAATTTTATTAATAAAACTATTGCCATGTAATAGAAGTTTTGGGGTCTTTTTGCACAACTTTTAACGAGATTCTATTGCATTTCTAATTCAAAGAATAGAAAAGCTTTTTCTGTTTTTCTGTTAGGGTGTGATTATAATTATTTTTTAAATAGTATTTTTATATTAAAAAATATATTAATAATATTTTTTATTTTTAAAAATTATTTTTAATATTAACATATCAAAATAATTTAAAAATACTAAAAAATATTAATTTGAACTAAATAAAAAATAAAAAAAAATTAATTTTTTAAAATATTTTTAAAACACATAAATAAATTGACACTAAAAAAGATTAAAAAAAAATACAGTACTTAAAAATTAAAATTTATTATTTGAGGATGATTTTTTTAACCAAGAGTGAGGAATTAAGGAAAAAATATTGTTAGCGTCTTATAATTTTATTAAAATTGCACTTGCTTACTTATTTTAAAAAAATACAGATGATATTATTAATGAGTATAAAATAAATTAAACTACATAATAATATTTATGATATAGACTAATATGCAAACAACAAAGTTCATGTTATAAAGTATAATTTTTAGAAAAATTGATAGGCAAAGTACAATACTACTAAACCATATAATGACGGAGCAATTTTTTTCCAAATTTAAAGATGAAAAGAGTGCTCGCTGCCTACTCAATGAAGAGAGAATTACAAATTCCTTGAGTTTTTAATAATTGTTTTGTGGTTAATTGGATCTAAAACTGGAATTTGGATAGCACCAAGCACATATCCATTTATCGCAATATATTTTGTGTAAATAAAATATAGTAGAAGAGTCATCGTATCTTTGCTATGAATAGTGTCCTCTTAGTAAAAAGAGCTCGTGGAGACAATTCTAACATTATTATAAAAAGTTGTATGATGATATTGAAAGAAATCATATGCAACATTAGAGTAATAACAAATAAAAAAAAATATCTTCATATGATTATCTCTTGCTTGTATTTAATTAATTAAAAAATAAAATTTATTTGAAAAAAGCTAAGTTTAACAACAACAAAAAAAAACAATTAAAAAGACTTAAAATAACCCAATTATTTTCAAAACCAATAAAAAACCTACATAAAGAAGCTAAAAAAATAATAAAACTCAATACCCTATTAAAAAAACATTGAAGAAGAAACTGAAAAAAACACAAGTCTTAAAAAAAGATAAAAAACTCAAGTGAATCCTTTTGATCTAAATTAATATTTTAAACTTGTAATTTATGAAATTCTAGATTCGAGTTCAAACAATAAGTTCAATTTTTAATAATAATTATCAATTTAAAAAATTTATCAAAGTAGAAAAATATCAATAAAAAAATAATTATCAAATCTTTCAAGAGAAAAGACTTGAAGTGGGATGAAATCATAAAAAGATTAAATTTTAAAAATTATCTTAAATAAAATAAATGGTAATAAAAATAATATGGACCATATTTGATAGATGCAAAAAAATAAAAGAAAGATTAAATTGAAAAACAATTATAAATTATTTAAAACTAAAAAAATAGTAATAAAAAAATATGATGAAATATGATGGAAAAATAAATTGAAGGATTGCTTTAAAAATTTAAAAAGTTAGAAAAAAAAAAGGAAAAAAAAATAAAGTCATTAGCATCAAATCAGAAACTTGTTAAATACATGTATCTTTCAAAGATGCAAGAGTTATTAAGATAATTCAAATATCATTATAAAAGCCGTTGTTTAGATGTAAGACCACGTTGTATATGCCATATGAATAGCGTGATGAATCTCACATGCACTAACTACTTTTGGTTTATAAATAATATTATATATTTATTAAAATATTAAATTATCATTTAATCAACTTGATTATAAAAAAAAATTAGAATAGAAACACAAAAAAACCCCGATGCTAGTTTGATTTTTTGTCTAAAATAATAATTTAATTGTTTTACCATGTTTTAAGAAATTAAAATTAGAAAAAGCTCCTAGATGCCAATTAAATAAATTTTTCTTTTAAAATTAATTTAGATATTTAAAATACTAAAAAAAATAAAATTAAAAGGTTAAGTTGCTACCAATCATATTATTCTAGCTATAATTAATAAATCTTATGAAAATATTAGACTATCTCCAATAATTAGACTATTATTTTTATTTTTTTTAAAATATAAAATAATCATTATACTGATTTAATCTATAATATTTTATATTAGCATTCATAGTGAAATAACAAGTTGTTTCAGGTTTTTGCTAATCGGAGCACATATTTACTAGATTATGACATTTTTCAATTGAAAGATATTTTCTAACCAAAAGAATGTGCTTTTTTTTCTATGACTTGATGTTGTCCAAATTTTAAAATCCAAGTTGCATAAAAAAAGGTTAAACAAAGCAAAAGAATGTGTTTTTTTTTTAATTTATATAGGATATTCGAGTTAATTTATGTACACCATAATTAATCCCTATAATTTATTAAATATTCTATAAACTTAATAAATATATAAAACACTCGAGAATGACAAATATATAAATCAAAACTCAAACCTAAATATAATAGAAAAAGATAAGATTCTTTCATTACTAGATAGAAAAAGATAAAGCACTTTCATTACTAGACGTGGAATGCAAAAGAATGTGCTTTTTTTTTCTATGACTTGATTTTTTCCAAAATCATTGACTTCTCCGATATTTTCTCTTCCCATCCAAATACGGCCTAGGATGAAGCGGAAAAAATACAATAAAAGATTCTTCTAAAAAGAAATAAAATAAAATAACCGCTTAAGATATTTCAAAAAATCTGCACCCCTTTTCGCACTTATAGCGCGTGGTTCACCGAAACTATTTTGGGATGTGTTTCCGTCGAAAGATTTATATTTTTGCTTTTTAGAATTACCTGATACTGTTAAAAACATTAAAAAAAATCATAATTTATTTTTCTTGCTGTGAGAAAAAAATTCATTTTCTTACTCACAAATTTAAGTATCTATACTATGTGAAACTTTAATTTGAGTTGTTAAACAATTAAACTTTGATCAATCATGTATATTTATATTATTTTTTTAAAAGTATATTAATACAAAAAGAATATATATAAAAATCTCTTTAATGATTTAAATGTAATTAAAATGAAGTGGGGAAAGTCTAGAATGTGATATTTTTATTATTTTTAGTAGTTTTTAGATCTGATTTTTCTTTTCTTATCTATGGATTTTTTTAAAATAAATAAAATGAAATAACTACTAAGATATTACTAGTTGTCCAATTTATAACATAAAAATAATGGATAATTCAGATAATTATTTGGATTTTTTAACATACCAATAAAAATATTTGAGTTACTACATTATGTTTGTTGTATTAATTTTTAACTTATATAAATATATATTTTAAATTATTAAAAATTTAATTTTTTTAGATCTAATTTTGACTTATTAAAAAATTTCTTTGAGTTTAAATTTAGCTAGCTAATTATATATATATATATATATAATATTTAAGTAAAAAAATCAATTATGATGTAATTTTTTTTGGATTACTTGAATTATTAGGATAAATAAAAAATTCCCATGATTTAAATAATTTCCGAGATGGTAATTTTCATTGAAATTCCCTCTTATTTTATCTCAAAAGTAGTCGAAGACTTGGAAGTTAGAGTAACAATTAAAAGTTACACTTCTCCCTCTGTCATCTCTTCATCACACTCTCTCTCAAATCGCGTAGACTCATAAAATCCATATATCATCATCACCGCTCACATCCATCGTCTCCTTTTCTTTCTCTCTCCTTAAAGATCAAAAGGCCCAAAGCCAACAGGTAATTTTCTTACAATGTCTCGTCAAAACAGTTATATTCACTCATGAACACCACCCTCAATTCATTCTCCGCTGCCGAATCGAGCATGGAAGACACCTCCAATCCCTCAATCACTACCAACCAAAACGCCAACAAAGAAGATGAAGTTGATGCAGAGGTTTGGGCAACATTCAACGATAGTTTTCGACAAGTTCAGTCGGTTCTGGACAGAAACAGAGTTTTGATTCAACAAGTGAACGAGAATCACCAGTCTAGAACTCCTGAAAACATGGTCAAAAACGTCTCTCTGATTCAAGAACTTAACGGCAACATCTCCAAGGTTGTTGGGCTTTACTCTGATTTGAATTCCAATTTCTCCACTGCTTATCATCAGCGAAACCACAACGGTAAAAATAACGGCAACACGGCCTGAATCGATTTCTTAGTTGTATCTTATTTATTCAGTGTGTGTAATTTGGGGGGTTCGGGATTTTATTGAGGGTAGAATTTATGTTGTGTCTGTCGTGGTTTATGTTATATCAAGGAAAGACCATGGTGCTCTTGAGTTTGGATTAATGGAGTATTCAGTATTTTCTACTATATTATTTTTGCTGATAAAAAATTATGGAAAATGATTGAATGGTAAATATTTGTTTAAGGTGAATTCTGGAGGTATTTGGATAAGCAAATTTAGTTGTCTAGAGATTCAGGTGAGAGCAAGTTGGGTATTTTTGTGTGGCAAACAAGAACTAGAGTTGGAGTTTTTTTGAATTAAATTTATAGGTGCAAGATCATTTTGGTTCTTTTAGGGTCTTCAGAAGGTCATTTGATTGAGATTTACCCCAACTTGCTCAGGCCCCCTTTGAGTTCCTTCAAGTTTGGTACTCATGTTCAATTATTGCTGGGTCATTGCCAGTGAACTTCTGTCTAACAATTATTGCTGGGAGAGTGATATGACTGCATGTTGTTTACTTTATTCTATGTTTTCTTTCTATTGATTGAATACAGGATAAAGGTCTGTTCTCGATCTAGTTTGGTTTTTTTGCTGTAGTTGGACTCTGGGATGCCTTAAATTCTGCTACATCCATGATTGTCTACCATATGTCATGATTCACGAATTGGAGGAAATGTTACCTTTTTTTGAGCCAATAATTGTCTGGCTTGCCTAAGTAAAGCCCTGCTCTGTAATTCCTCTTCTTCTGAAACTTCACGGATGATTTGCAAATCGGATACGACTTCTTGGAAATTTATAGTTTCCTTTGATTATTACAGTTACCTTTTCTCGTTGAGTTTTTGCCTGTGAGTATTCTTTTGTTATTACCAAGTACCAAGATCGTTTGTTGTTTTTCATTTCTCGCTCTCACTTCCATTACCAAGCTAGCGAGACGGGAAAGTTTTCATGTTGGCAGATCGATGCATCGTTGATCCGGAAATGCGTAGTAGATAACCCCAACTTCCTTTCTAGTATATGCCACTCAAGAGCTGATGATTAATTTGGACTGCCTCGAGTATAAAGCCGAGGAGTTTCTTGTTTTGTATTTTAAAAATGTTTTTAAAATAATATTTTTTTTATTTTTTAAATTATTGTTTTAATATTTTTATATCATTTTCATGTGCTGATTTAAAAAATAATTTTAAAAAATAAAAAAATAATTTTAATATATTTTTAAATAAAAAATATTTTAAAAATTAACTATAATTTTACTTTTAAATATTCGGGTTTTAGTTTTGATATATTTACTGGGAGAGTAGAACGCGCTTAAGAGTGCTCCACAAAAATAATTAGGTGATTGAAGGTAATTGAGAGTTGTTTTTTAAATTGTTTTTTAATAAATTAAAATAATATAATATTTTTATTTTTTCAAAATTATTTTTAATATTATTATATCCAAAAATATTAAAAAAATAATTTTAAATAAAAAACTAATTAAAAATAAAAGAAAAGCCTAAACGGCCTTAAATAAGCATTTTGAAAGGATGAAGCGAACCCGAATATGGAAAGAAATGATCAATCAACCATTTGCGCGACGTTGTCCCTCCGCTCCTATATTAAAATGGTATTTGTTAACATGGTTGAAATATTTTTTATTTAAAAATTATATTTTTAATATTTTTAAATTATTTTGATATAATAAAGTAAAAATAAATTTGAAAAAATAAAAAAATATTATTTTAATATATTTTTAAATAAAAAATATTTTAAACTATATAACCTCGAATAAAATCACAAACATGCTTCTGAATAAGCTGAAGTGCTATTATAAATTGAAATTGATAGAGTGCGATAACCAACGTGTCCGTGTCTCTTATAAGAAAAGAATTTGAATCGTGAAGCAACATCCAAGTCACAAATGGAGCTCTTAACGTGTCTTATAAGTGATCTTCTCAGTCTTCTGACAACACGAGGAAAAACTTATAAAGTTCGGAGTTCATTTCATAGTCTTTCTTCCCTGCATGTGCATGAGGACAGAAGCCCAAATTCCTGGTGTTTCAGCGTCCCTGCTTTTCCAAAGCAAAGGGGGAGAAATCTGTTGATACCTGTTAGCTGTACAGTATTTCAATATCCAGTTGCTTCTAACTGAAACTGCATTGGATCAGCGCAGCACCTTCAATGAACATATGATGAACTCAGGAACCCACCGATTAATAGTAAACTAATTGCCTAAATATATCAACGTGTTCAGTGACAAAAAATAAAAATAAGATTTGGAAACGTGTTGGAGATACGATTGCTAACAGAGTTGTAAGCGTTGAGACACAAAAACTGGAAATTAAGACATAGCAGAAGGTACAGAAGATGGGTTTGCAGAGGAGATAGACAGCTGATCGACAACAAAGAGGGCAGTCACAAAGGCATTTTACCGCTGTGTAAAACCACAATTTTATGTTTTGGCACTCCATTCTGTCTTCCTTCAGCTTCAATCTTGTATACAATATCCATACCAGAAAGCACCTTGCCAAACACAACACGGAATATCCATGCCAGAAAGCACCTTGCCAAACACAACACGGTGGCCATCCAATCTTTCAAGAAAAACAAATGCTTGCATGTGACTACAGAGACCTCATTAGGTTGATTAAACAGGCCAGTCTTTGGCACAAATCCATGCTCCCTAGAATACCTTTTAATTACATTTGACAGCAGCAGAATAGGATATTGCAAATCTTAAGCACTGCAATTACAGTTTCATAAAATGGCGAGACAAGCCCCACCGAAGACAGGCATACTTACCAGCTAGTCACTACTGTGTGGTATTGAATAATCGTGATCCGATAGTACGTGCATGGTTTACAAAATAACAAGTCTCAAGGAGCACATGAGGTAGCATTGCTTTTGCAGCTAGGCTCCATACCTACGGTCTTAGGAACGGTTTTCCCAAAAAGGCCCATAATAATTACCAAAAAAACTAGATGGGCTCGTCTTTTACCGGAATTCTGTAGAGAAAATTATTGTTGCTTAGTTTGTTGTTAACAAACTCAGCAAGGAAGAAGAAGAAGAAGAAGAGCCTCTACCTGGCTGAGTTTGTTGCTAACAAGTTTGGGATACGGCGAAACCGCAGCATCGCCCCACCGCTTCTGATAAAGAAATTGAGTCAGTATAGCAACCCATAAGAATTAAGAAAAACACTTTCTTTTCGTTTGGGACCGAGACTGAGGAGAGACTGTAACAAACTAGCAGGTGGATTTACATCGATTCTTCTTCAGGAGACATAAATTTAGTTATTCCATTTCTCAAAAAAAAAAAAAGAGGTTTCTTTTTCTTTCCTTTATGTTTGGCATCTAACCATGGGATTCTGATACACTGCCTCAATTGATTTTTCAATTAACAAAGGAAACATTTGCTGTTCACTTGAAGGCGAGTATTATTCTCATGTTTTCCGTTCATGTTGGTATTGCAATGACTATCCGAATCCCATGGTTAGATGTCCAAACCAAATTAATCAAATGGTTAAGCTTTATTAGCTAAAAATTGATCATGGTCGGCTTATGATTTATAACTACAGGGTTGGTTTCAATTATAGTTAATCTTATATTAATTATTGTAAAATTATAATTATACCATTAATCATAAATAATTACGAGCTCATATAGTGCTTTAAGAATGCTTAATAAATTTAATTTTCTATCAAGATCTTTAGACTTGATAGAATTGTTATTATGAAAGGATATTTATGTGCGTGTTTGGTTGCTATTTAATTGTTATTATGAAAGGATAAAAATAAAATAAAATTTTGCTAAACAACATTTTAAAGACGTTATCACGCACTACTAAATAAGTAACTATTGCTAATGAATTCCATGAATATAGTAATTACAAGTTTTTAAACATGGATGGGTTAATTACTCTCGGTGAAAGTCAACTCATGAATCTCATCCCATCAATAACAGATAATGTTTAATAGATTAATTGGCTTAAATATTTCGAAATATAACATTACACTATTCTTAGAATAAATTCCTAAAAACATCTTGTATTTGGAGTAAAAAGTTTTCATTTCCTAATCTGAATTTACTCGAAATTGCTTTGTTTCAGAAAGATGTCACCTCACATGATTGGCCTGCAGAGAAGACATCCTCGTACGAGAGCAGGATAATTGTGACATTTGATATTAGTCAACAGGAAGAAGAAGAAGGAGCCAGATATCAAGGTGGTGCTTTTGCTTTTATAGTCTCATTTCTCCAACGATAGATAGAGCCACAAATTCTCCTGTTTTATAGGCCCTCCTCAGTCTCTCTCCCTCCCTGTCTCCCAAATCTTCAAGCCAAAAAGGTACTGGAAAATAAAACAAAAAAAACCAGATAGCGTGGCAGAGAAACTCAACGATGGGGAGCTACAAGAAAGATAAGCATAGAACATCTCCACTACCAGAATCTAGCAATAGCAACAAAGATGAAATGGGGAGTTATAATTACAAGATGTTTAATCTTTTTAACAGAAAGTTCAAGATCACGGAAGCTGAGCCACCCAAAGACGTGAAACAACTTTTTTCCAAGTTCTCGAATGGTGGGTCCCACATGACTGCTGATCAGCTCCGGCGCTTCCTGGTTTTGCACCAGGACGAGCTTGACTGCACGCTGGCGGATGCACAGAAGATCGTGGAGGAGGTCATTAACAGGAGGCATCATTTGACGAGATACAGCAGACATTCACTTAATCTTGATGACTTTTTCCATTTCTTGCTTTATGATGATCTCAATGGACCCATCACCTCTCAGGTTACCCCTCTCCCTAACTCTGTCGCTAAATGTGTATGGCACGTTTATGAAATTTAGAGTATCACAATTGTGATTTACGCTTTTAAATCATTGTTTTTTTTTTAATCATGGATAGGGTAAAGAAAGCAAAATCTTGTGCAGTTGATGCCAAACCATTTCTTTCTCAATTATTTCTTGTTGTAATTTGAACTTTAGAGAAGCTCGGAAAATGGGGTTGGATAAGTTTGTAATTTTTTACAGCAAATGATGGGTCTAAATATTTCTTGCATTTTACTTGGGATTCCAAAGGTGGGGTTCTCTCTCTCTCTCTCTCTCTCTCTCTCTCTCTCTCTCTCTCTCTCTCTCTCTCTCTCTCTCTCTCTCTCTCTCTCTCTCTCTCTCTCTCTCTCTCTCTCTCTCTCTCTCTCTCTCTCTCTCTCTCTCTCTCTCTCTCTCTCTCTCTCTCTCTCTCTCTCTCTCTCTCTCTCTTTCTCTGCATTTTTTTTCCTGGCAATTTTGTATTGTGCAGGAAGCGGGGCATTTACATTGTGGACTAGTGAAAGTAGCACTGCCCCCTTTTGCTGATTTTGTTAGCAATTAGAATTATACATTGATTAAGGTGTGTGGGCCTAGAAATTGATTGATTAGCAGATAGGATTTTTTTTTTTTTTTTGTTATGATCAAGAACCAAAACAATAACTTCTCTTTTAGAAATTACGAAAAGATTTTTACTTACAAGTCTTACGAACAGGGATCTTTGGAGCATTACATATCTGCATCTTTGCCATGTTTTATCTGGGTATGCTTTGAACAATTTGTAAGGGGACCGTGTTGAGTATGCCCTTGACAAATTATGTCATTCCAGGTACACAATGATATGACTGCTCCATTGGCACAGTATTTCATATACACAGGGCATAATTCCTACCTAACTGGGAATCAACTGAGTAGTGATTGTAGCGAGGTGCCAATTGTAAAAGCTTTGCAGAGAGGTGTAAGAGTAATTGAACTAGATTTGTGGCCAGGTTCCGCAAAAGATGAGATTCTTGTTCTTCATGGAAGGTATATACTGATTGCAATTTTACCATTTTTGCGAATGTGAGTGCTTTCTTTTGCCTTTATGTATTTGTGGATATGCATATCCACTACTTCATACATGGATGGTAGTATTTGTGAAGCAGAAGTCTTTCTTTAACTTGAAAGTAACATTTAGCGAAATGTTTAGTTGCTATTACAAATCAGAATGAGGAAGCTTTTAGGGGCACAATATTTCATCGTTCTGTATATCTCATCTTTCCCTTTCCTGAAGCATGAAGGACAGGGCGTCTTTAACTTTTATTTTATTTTATTTTTTGTTAACAAAAATAATATAATGAATAGAGTTAACAAAAATAATATAATGAATAGAATTCACTGAATGGATTTCACGCAAAAGAAATTGGAGTTGCTAAATAGTGAGAGAGTGAGAAAAATCTATATAGGGATAGCTTGGATTGCATTTTGGAACGCAGAAGCAAATGAAGTGTTATTGAATCGAGTTATAAGTGAGTTAAAGAAAAACACATTCACTGTAGGAAAGACATGCATGGATGTTATGATTCTGAATCATTGTTTCTCTTACTAAGTTATATCCTGATTGATCGTAGGACCCTGACCACTCCAGTGCCACTCATAAAATGTCTGAAGTCCATAAGAGACTATGCTTTCGCTAGTTCTCCTTATCCAGTCATCATAACTTTAGAAGATCACCTCACACCAGAACTTCAGGCTAAAGTTGCAGAGGTTAGCTTTCAATTCATTTTCAAGGATTTGAATTTTCAGCTTCTCTGTTTCCTATTTATCTATAACCCTGCAATACCTTTGCACGTAGATGGTTACTCAAACATTTGGCGGAATGCTGTACTATCCTGAGTCAGATTCCTTATTACAGTTCCCTTCTCCGGAATCATTGAAACATCGAATAATCATTTCAACCAAACCACCAAAAGAGTATCTTGAATCTAGTGGCATCAAGCGAAAGGGACCTTTATCACCAGGTGGAAGGAATTCATCCGAAGAAGATGACGAAGCATCAGGGATACCATACCATACAGCTGAACTAGAAGCGGATGATAGGGTGAGCATAGAGGCGAATCTTGCCTAGTCTAAGTAAGATTTTTATGGTGTTTCGTTAACTTTTTCACAAATGGCAGAGCGACAGTGATCAAGATGATGTAGACCTAACCGATTGTGACAATAAATCAGGCCAGTTAGGGGCACCTGCATATAAACGTCTAATCACAATACACGCTGGGAAGCCAAAGGGTTGTTTAAAGGATGCTTTGAAAGTTGCAGCTGATAAAGTTAGACGTCTTAGTTTGAGTGAACAGGAACTTGAAAAGGCTGCGGCAACAAATGGAACTGATGTAGTGAGGTATCTATCAAACATTACTGATTACAGATGCTTGAAAGAAGTTTCTATTGCTACTGTCCATCTTAAAACCAGATCGATAGTGCTAATATATGCTGATGTTCTTCCCAGATTTACACAGAATAATATTCTGAGAATATACCCTAAGGGAACTCGGATCACCTCCTCTAATTACAAACCAATTGTTGGATGGATGCATGGAGCTCAGATGATTGCGTTTAATATGCAGGTTTGTTTCCAAAACCATTTGATGTCAGGCAACTTTCTTTCATGAAGGAGGCATTCATAAGTTAAAAGACTATATCCTTTATGAACCATGAGTGACCTGGATGTTCCAATTAGTCAAGCAATCCAAAGCTTCATGTTCTTGCATATAAGATGATCATAGAATGCCAGCCATATAAAGTCCTCGTAACATGTAAGCTTTTCTTTAACAGGGATATGGAAAATCACTTTGGCTGATGCATGGGATGTTTAGGGCCAATGGAGGTTGTGGTTACCTTAAGAAACCAGATTTTCTATTGGAGAAAGGTCCAAATAACGAGGTGTTTGATCCTAAAACAAAATTACCAGTAACAAAGACATTAAATGTGAGTGTACTAGTCTTGCTTGAAATTGAATTTCATCTGTCTGAAGCTCTCTTCCCCAACTCTATTTTATCTATTAACAGGTGAAAGTATACTTGGGTGATGGATGGCGCCTTGATTTTAGCCACACACACTTTGATTCATACTCACCACCAGACTTCTACACAAAGGTTGGTTGGATTAAGTATCCTACTCGCATGTAAATGTGAAATTTGTCAATAAACCTCGTAATACTTGAGCATCATCATTCCAACCTAGGAATGGGAAAAAGACTTTTCAATATGTTTTGGTTAACCTGCCTTATCCACAATTGGTCGAAACTCAATTCACTCTGAAGTGATTAAAAGATTAAAAGCCATTAATGAGCAAACCATATGTATTTTCTTTCACATTCTAGCTTAAGATCGAAAACGATGTGTGATGACATGTAAATGAACATTTGACTTGTTATCCTCAGGATAATCTCTAGATTTTGCAAATAAGTTTGAATCACCAGACTTGGATATTGGTATCTGTGATTGGTGAGGTTTAATTTGAGGTTCTAATCCTGCCTTATTCTGTTACATTGCTGGCATCTGTATCATGTTCCTGAAGTATCTATCTCATGCATGCTTTCCGGCTAATGAATTAATAATCCGCACTGCAGGTTTACATCGTTGGGGTACCAGCTGATGCAGCAAAGAGAAAAACAAAGATAATCGAGGATAACTGGTCTCCAGCTTGGAATGAGGAGTTCACATTCCCCCTAACCGTTCCCGAACTGGCTTTGCTTCGGGTGGAAGTGCAAGAGTATGATATGTCAGACAAGGATGACTTTGGTGGTCAAACATGCTTGCCTGTCTTGGATCTAAGACCAGGAATCCGATCAGTCCCTCTCCATGATAAGAAAGGAGAGAAACTCAAGAATGTAAGGCTTCTAATGGGGTTTCAGTTTGTATAACCTCTACAGTATTATTTTTCATTGATGGCATATGCTAGCTCCAGCCCTTGATCCTAGAACAACAGATTGTCCAACAGTAGGTGTATAATAAATAGGCTTCATAATTAGTTAAGAAATATTGAACCTGGCCCGAATGCTTATGCTTTTGTTTTGCTTCAGACCGACGATAGGGTATGAAAAGTTACAATCAAAGTTTTTTACCCTTGACAATTAACATGGACAGCCCTAGCTGTTGCTGCAAGGTCCTTTCTTCGCTGTTGAGATGTCACAATGTAATCTTTCGTTTTTTAGGTGCTTTAACATTACACTTGATGATTAGTTGTGGTCACGTATTAAGAAGCTTGCCTGGATGCATCTTTAAAAGATTATTTAGCGAACAACTTTTGAGCTAAGTTGATTTGTTCTTCAATTATGGTTAATTTTGTCCAAAAAGTTGGTATAACATATCATCTGTGTTGATGTATCCCAAAGTAAAACTATAATTTTTCCCCTTTAAATGTAACCCAATCGAGATACAACCGGAAAAAACAAATGATAGTCCTACAATATCCACTGAATCTAATCTCGTTCTGGATGGAAAAACTCCGGTAGGACCAATCACTTGTACGAGGCTCCGAGCCGCCTCCTTCATGTGTTTTTACAAGAAAAATTCTGATCCGGAGTCCTGAACGGTATATATCGAAACCTTGCCGGGAAAGTCAAGGTGCAAATCAGCAACCGATGAAAACTAGATTATGTTTGTTTTTATGTTTTAAAAATATTTTAAAAAAATTTAATTTTTAATTTTTTGTTTTAAATTAATTTTTTTGATATTTTTACATTTGATATATTAATATTAAAAATAATTTTTTTAAAATAAAAATATTTTTTTAATATATTTTAAATGAAAATTTATTTAAAAATATTTTTTCCATACTTGTACGGTTGTTTATATGTAAATGCTCTCACTTGCGTTTCTTTTGGCCGCTGAAGTATTATAACACTATCATGGGGAACGTTTGATCACCCTTCCCCCGTAAAATCTATCATCATTTTAATGGCGGCTCTGAAAGTGCGTAATAATAAAATATGATGGGATGGCTTAATGGCTAAAGGCGTGCTTTTTAATTATCAGCAACCCTTCAAATCTCAAGTCAGGCTATCGAAGTTAACTTCCATGAGTCATTTAAACTTGTTACAAAAACAAAAATCTCCAGTAAGTGAAAGCTGGTCTGAAAGTCGTAGACTGCAAGGAAGTTCTCGGAATGCCCTTGCAGAACAGAAGGTAGATCTGTCAATGGCCCAAGCTATAATTAGGTCCGAATATGAGAGATCCTCACCCCTTGTAATCCGATGTGGACGTGTGTTTCATCAGATAACTTGTGAGAGAAAACCTAGATGCTGTGGTCCACTACTGCTTCAAAGGAGTATCTTTTTTGAGCAGAAAGATATTCCTTTTCTTTTGTTCCAGGTAACTATTTTTTTTACTGAAGTTGAGAAATATTATCATCTAATTGGTTACTGAAAAGAAGGATATTGAAGTCATCAACTTATTTAACGTGTCAACAGTTCCTGATTTCATGGCATGCGTGTCACTTTAACCTCGTACTTCTAGCTGTTTAATGTAAGAAACAAGAAACAAAATTACAGTAATAGCCACAAACGATCGAGCGTGAATAATAATAATAAAGAACCCTAAGCCGGGAGGAAGGAGAAAAGTCCAAACGTGTCACCTTCTCTATAAAAATAAGCGTGACCTCTAACCACGGTGCTCACGTCCCAACTAAAAATAGACATCTCAATTTTCTATTATTATTATTTTTTAATATAGAAAGGAGAGTAGAGCCCATCAAAGCCTTAGAAAGGAGATCCAAACAGCATCAGCTAGCAAAATAAAAATGGAGTTGAGTTCCAGGAAGGGGACTTTGGCAATGCAGAAGAAAGGTGGGCTGTGGAAACCCCATCCGAGCAGTGAAATTAATCAGTTTTCCTGTCGGAGAGGACGGAGGAGTTATTTCTACAATTTCGGAGGATTCAAATTAAAAAAAAGCTTATCCTCTCAAATTTACGAGTTTCAAGTGCAAATAGTTTACCATAAACTCAATGGATAAAGAATTTATTAGTTTGAGTCAGCACATAAAGACTGATATAGAATAGAGGGGGGAAAAAGAAAAACATATGAAATTCCAAACACCTCTTCACCAGATTGTCCATTTCCTTCACTAGCACTCCATTAATTTATCGCGAGACTTTCCGTAAATTAACTTTATTCTTTCCCTCAATACGCAAGCATTATCACAGTTTGATTTAGCGTATGGTCAAAGCTACCTGTCACCGGCCATGCGTATAATTTAGCAAATGGATCAGTTTGTCGAGTATTGGATTCCTGTCACAGTCACTACGCCCATGCCAACCGTTCAAGAGAAACGAAAGGTCAATATGGCCGCACGCAATGTCACCCAAATTTCTCAGGAAACCATCACCTTTTATTGCCGACGCACACCATCCTCGAAAAAACAGCACTCTCTCTTCTTACATACAAATGGCAACAATCTTGTAATCCTCGAATAAAAACAACAACCATCTTTCTGCATCTCTCTCTAAAATTCTCCGATGTCCAAACAGACGTACAGAGTTTGCTTCTGCTTTCGCAGGAGGTTCAAGCTAGCAGAGGCCGAGGTCCCGGATGAGATCAAGGCCTTGTTTGATTTGTACTCGGAGAATGGCATCATGACCGCTGATCAAATCCACAGGTTCTTGATCGAGGTTCAAAAACAAGAAAAGGCCACTTTCGAGGAAGCACAATCTATTGTTGAAAGCCTCAAACATTTGTCTCTTTTCCACCGTAAAGGGCTCCATCTTGAGGCCTTCTTTAAGTATCTTTTTGGCGATACTAACCCTCCTCTTGATCTTAAACTTGGGGTAATTTTCCTCTTTTTTTTTACCCTTCTTTGTTGTGGCTAAATTTTGATTCTTCAATTACTTATGTTAATCGGGTCTTTCTTTCTGGTTAAATTTGGTACTTATCATACACATAGTTATATATTGCTTTGATAGCTAAAATAGGAAGTGGGCGGGTTCTTGTGTTCCATGTCGGGAAAGAAAGTGAAAAACTCAAGCTTATGACTTTTGACTGAATGGTTACTAATAAGCTGCATCGATTTAAGTATTTCATGATTATAATAACTTGTCAATTAATGCTATTGGATTGTCTAATTATCTTTGAAACGTATGATTAGATGTAGAGAGTCACGTGGGATGCTTGAACTTGTCCATGTCGCTAATTAACTTTTGTTATTTAAAGTTTCTTTAAAAGTGGAATGCCTTTCATTTTCTACCAGGAATGTAAAAATAAAAGCTTTCAACTATTGTCTCTTTGTCATGGTTTACTTTTCTAGTTGATTTTTTTTGGAATTACTGTTCTGTTTCAATTTCGTACGGATATCTGCATTTTTCTTTTTTGTGTTTGCTTATATATTTTATTCTTTGGTTTCAGGTGCATCAAGATATGACAGCACCCCTTTCACACTATTTCATATATACTGGCCACAATTCATATCTAACTGGGAATCAGCTTAGTAGTGATTGCAGCGATGTTCCCATCATAAATGCTCTGAAAAAAGGTGTGAGGGTAATTGAATTGGATATATGGCCAAATTCTGAAAATGATGATGTGGAGGTACTTCATGGGAGGTATGCTGTTATAGTGCTAATAATGGTATCTCTAAATAAATATAGGATGTGCAATTGTTACTGCAAAAGGAAATGAAGCAGGAACCAATAATTGTGCAACAACTTAATAGTGATCTTTTTTTTTCGTTAAGTTTTGATTTTGATCTTGCTTTGGTGATATGAATCATAAAGAAGCTTAGTGGCTTCTTCTTCTTCTTCTTTTTTTTTAATGGGGGATCGATAAGTGCTAAACTGTAAAAAAAAAAATTTGCACAACTTATATCCTTTAGTACTTTGCCTTGAGTGACCTTTCAGTCGTGATTTATGAGAGATCATTGCTGTTAACTTCAAAATACTTTTGAACCATCCTTCCCTGGTTTTTAACCAGTGATACTTTGGACCTTGTTTAGGACTTTGACAACTCCGGTGCAACTTATCAAATGTTTGAGGTCAATTAATGAGTACGCTTTTACTGCATCTGAATTCCCCGTTGTTATAACTCTAGAAGACCACCTTACTCCAGATCTTCAGGCTAAAGTGGCTCGGGTGAGTCTTTGCTATTCTGTTGGGATGGGAAGGACTTACGGGCTAACGATTTAATATTCTTTCAAATGGTTTCTAGATGGTCACTCAAACATTTGGAGACATCCTGTTTACTCCTGGCTCAGAATGCTTGAAGGAATTCCCTTCCCCTGAGTCTCTGAAGAGACGGATTATCATATCAACAAAACCACCAAAGGAATACCTTGAGGCGAAGAATATTAAAGATAAAGAGAGTGATTCCCAGAAGGGGAATGCTGCTTCCGATGAAGAAGCTTGGGGGAAAGAGATCCCCATTCTTTCTGATGACAAGGTATTTGAAGACACTTACTAGTATTTAGTTTGCCAGGTTTTTCTAATTTCTTTCCAGACTAACCTTCTTGGAGCAGAATGAATCGGACAAAGATGATGATGATGATGCAGAGGAAGATCTTGATGAAGGAGATCACAAGTTGCAGCATGATATAGCACCAGAATACAAACGTTTGATTGCTATTCATGCTGGGAAGCCTAAAGGTGGATTACATGAATGTCTGAAAGTAGATCCTGATAAAGTGAGGCGTCTTAGCTTAAGTGAGCAACAGCTTGAAAAGGCTGCGGAAACCTATAGAAAAGAAATTGTCAGGTATAAGCAAACCCTAAAGCATTCCGTTGAAAGAACTCATCTGCAGGAGTACATGTGCCTTTATTTGCTGCTTGAAACCTTACTGTCACAGTTACTATTTGTTCGATTGTGCATTTAATAGTTCAATGCTCATGGTTGAGAATGTATTTATTGGTGGACTTGGAAGGATTTGAATGACTCGAAACATTGGGTTTTAATATTCTATGTTGTGGTGTTTATCCAATCCTGGCTTCTAAATTTTGACTCCTTTTCTGGCATTATCAATTCCATTATTATACTAGTAATTAGCTTATGTGCTTCATAACCATATCCTATGCCATTATTATACCCTTTGTACTTGGATCATTAGAAAACCAAGTTCCATAATGTCTAATGAATGACTTGCTATACAGGTTTACCCAGCGGAATATACTCAGAGTGTATCCAAAGGGTATTCGTGTGAACTCATCCAACTACAACCCACTAATTGGATGGATGCATGGTGCTCAAATGGTTGCTTTTAACATGCAGGTTCGTGTTTCAAAATCTAATTATTGAGTTCCCAAGCATAAACTTTGAGGGTAGAAAGTAAAGGTGGGAGGATTTGGTGTTAATCATTCTAGTTTTTTAAGAGTTTTGGCCTTTTGTTTGTAAATGGATTGCTTAACTGAATAATTTTATTCAAACTTGTGTTTAAAAAGTACTAGATCGATAGAAGAGAAAATGATGAAGTCTTTTTTTAATATAGTTATCTTATATGATACTGGCTGAGCAATGCATTACATTTATCATTGTTCTTTTAAATTTATACAAGTACGTGTCTCAGCCAAATACTAAAAGCAGGTCTGTCATTGAAGGGACATGGAAGATCACTCTGGTTGATGCAAGGAATGTTCAGAGCCAATGGTGGGTGTGGATTTGTGAAGAAACCAAGTTTTCTACTGAAGTCTGGTCCACATGGCGAGGTGTTTGATACCAAAGCTAAGTTACCTAAGCAAAAAACTTTGAAGGTGAGTGCTTTACTGTCAATGGCTTTGGCTGGAATGGAGTTTTTTCCGGATCCATTTAAAATGTCCATGTAAAGTTTTCTTTTGCAGTTAACTTTGCGTAGATGAATAATTGCAATTTTCTTATTGCTGAATAGGTGAAAATATACATGGGTGAAGGATGGTATTATGATTTCCATCACACACATTTTGATGCATATTCCCCACCAGATTTCTATGCGAGGGTAAGTAGATACAATCTTACGGCCTTGTTGTCTCCTCTTCTTAAGTGATTACGTTCAATCCACTGCACAATTTTCCTTCTACACAACTATAATCTAATCCTAGTTTGGCGTTCCATCAAAAGTCTCATGTTCTTGTTATGGCTAAGGCATTGTTGAGATCTGTAGTAATGCAAGACTTTACCGTAACAGTTTTTATCTTTGCTGTTATTTGTTCGCTAGATTTTTGCAGTTTACTTTTGATTCTGTACTGCTTAGTTCTTCTTTTTGGGCCCTCCTTCCCCTTTGTTCCCGATAGGTATCTGAATCAGTGGCTACTGCCTAGATCATGAAAAATAATGGATGATCAAGTGCAGTTTAACTTCTTTTTGTGCAGGTTGGGATTGCCGGGGTCCCTGCAGATACTGTGATGAAGAAAACGAAGACTCTGGAGGACAGCTGGATACCTTATTGGAATGAGGAGTTTGAGTTTCCATTAACAGTTCCAGAACTAGCTCTGCTTCGGATTGAAGTTCATGAATATGACATGTCAGAGAAGGATGACTTTGGAGGTCAAACATGCCTTCCTGTATGGGAGTTAAGAGAAGGGATTCGAGCAGTTCCACTCCATGACCGCAAGGGAGAGAGATACAAATGTGTAAAGCTCCTTGTGCGCCTTGAATTTGTTTGATACCAGTAGAAGTTCCACGCTAAGTAGAAAACTACGAAAGAGAGAAGTACAGTACAAATCTGTGAAGTCCATTTTGATTTCTTTGTCGTTGTTGTGAGCTGGTGTGATTATGTGATTTCTTTTATTGCCGTGTGAACATAACAGCATCTGCCCGGTGCTTTTCTCTTGCTCTTCGTTGTGTTACACGGTAAAAAGAAAATGATGGATTTATTTTTGTATTTTAAAACTGTTTTTTTTTTTTTAATTTTAATTTTTTATTTAAATTAATATTTTTTTAATATTTTTAAATTATTTTGATATTAAAAATAATTTCTTTAAAATAAAAAAATATTATTTTAATATATTTTTAAATAAAAAACACTTTAAAAACCCATCATAATTATATCTTCAAACTTCCAAACACGTATAATATGTTATTAATCTCTGATGAGAAGGTATTTTGCGGTTGACTCAAAGCAATAAGAAAATGATAGTCTTTTCTCTTTGATTTGTTGTCTGATAAAGGAAGCAAAAATCAGAAATATTCAGGCGTTCGTCAATTCGGAAAAATTAACCAGGTGGTCGTTATGATAACTATCCCTGTCTCGTGTTCATGGATCTCAATTCTAATTGCTGCTGCTAATGGGCAAGCAAACAATCCACTACCGGCCCCGGGCCTGGCACTCCATTTTTCCAAATGCTCACGTGGATAACACGTGACTTCATTACCCCGCCCTCTGTTCGTTCTTCAATGCCCAGCCGAACCAAACCCCACTCCAGTTCCTCTGCTCTAGAGTCCAGCTTCCCAAATTCTGAAATGTCCTCTGCCCACAGCCACCATCAACACTGACAGCTGTTCTCCGAATCCGTCACCGCCACTCTGCAGATCTGACAAGCTCAATTTTCAAATCCTATCATCTCTCATTTCTCTCGAAGCATCAAACCATCCGATCCAGCCTGGTCTTCCACTTCTCTATGCTACGCCGTTTTCGACCTTATCTGGTATCCAATCCTGGACCTGCCAATCCTCCGATCTCTCCGCTCATCGAGCCTCCACGGGCCTCCCTGCGTCCCCCGATAAAGCCGCGGAATCATCCACCTGCATCTGCCCTAAATGCCGCTGTGAATAATCCATATCTCAAGTTCCAAGAAGTTACCTCTGTTTCTGTGGCAAAGCGGAAAATCCACCACTTGATAATCCCCGGATTGTACCTCACTCTTGCTGCGAAATCTGTTACCGACCGTTGAAGAATAACTGTGGTTATTTCTGTTTGTTACTTTGCCATCCCGTTCCTGCCCATCTTGCCCGAAACTTGTCAAAACGACATGTTTTTGTGGCAAAACGATGGATGTTAAGCTGCGGTTACAAATTGTTTTCCTGTAGCAATTTCTGTAATGAATCATTAGATTGTGGGATTCATAATTGTAAGCAAATCTGCCATGATGGAACTTGCCTGCTGTGTAATGCCCGCGGCGTTTATAAATGTTTATGTGGAAGGAAAGTCGAGGAGAGGGGAGTGTTGTGAGAGAGAATTTAGATGTGAGAATCCGTGCGGAAAATTGTTAGTCTGCAGAAAGCATGTGTGTGAGAGAGGTTGCCGTTTTGGGGGAGAGAGTTTATGAAGGATTGGCTTGTGATGTTGTTGTGCGCTTTGTGGTGGTACTTGTGATAAAATGCTGAGTTGTGGTTTGCATAGGTTCCATGAGAGATGTCATCGAAGGCATTGCATTGAGACTTGTCGAATTGCTGTCATCAAGTTGTGTCAGTGTGAGGAGATGAAGATAGAGGTAAAACCTTTATTTTTTCCTGCTTTCTGATCCAGTTCAGTGTATTATGAACTGTGGCTATTAGATTGTATTGGTTGTTCCAATGAAGATGATTGGTTATAATGCAATAAACATTAGTATGCTCATTTGTAGTGAATCAAAATTTTGACTTTTGTTTTTTCATATTTATTCACCGTGTGTGTTCAAAATTGGGAAGATTTAACTGAATTTAGATTGGGTTCCTTGCTATCAAGACTTGGCGTGTGAGAGGAAGAGTCAAAGATTGAGAAATTATGGACGGCATGCTTGTAAATGTAGGTGCTGTGATGGGGACTGTCCACCATGTGGAGAGGTGCATTTCATAGTGCTTGGTTGCTTATTACGCCTCATATCTATCACTTTATCCTGAAATTCAATACATGTTTGAAATTCCAGATTTGTGGCAGGAGGCTTCAGTAGGAGAATCATAAGTGTCCTGACCCATGCCAGCGGTATGCTTGTCCTCATCCTGCCTCACTTGCATTTCTTCTATTCACAAGAATGACCATGAGTTAAATAGGTATTAAAATAAAAATAAAAAGATGAGAGCTAAAGTAGTTATACCATGCAACTGCATTTTAGAATGCTTCGCGCACATACTCATTTGTTCGAAACGTCTTTGATTGAGTTTCTGAAACTGTGGAGCAGTCTGACAATATACTTCATAATGGGGTGTTGTTCTTAGTTATCTAATTAGATCTTATGCATTACGGATATTTTTATATTGAGGCAATGTCTTGATGGTTGGTTTTGTACTTGTATGTAGAGGTGCCTGTGCTCCTTGTACTGTCATGTTTACAATTTCATATGCATCTGGAGATACTCACTTTGAGGTGAGCGTTTTGCTTATTCTGGATCTCTTTTTAATGATTTCTAGAGTAGCCATTAATTCTATTGAAAGCCATGGTTAATTACTCGTTTAAATAAATAACTATTAAATGTTGACTCAAGGTTCAAAATCAGGAAGTCAATGAATGGAGTCCACCAAATCTATCTCTCATGATTTTAAGACTCTTTAGCTCCAATAGGTAGAGGAACCAACAAAAATGTTGACAAGAAAAGATAAATGTTTCCAAATGGTTTGATGATTTGGATTGTGCCAACAGTGCTGTAACATGAGAAGTTTTGCTTTGTTGGCCTAATTGTACACAAATGCCTCTGGCTTATTATTATATTTTTTTACTTGAAGACACCGTCATAGCTAAAAGTGTATGCATCAGTAGCATATAAACTGTGACAAATGGGGAATGGATGCACAGGACTATTCATTCTTCAGAATTATTTTGAAATAGCTTCTTACTGTCTATAGATAGATAAGGTAATTCATGCTTTAGCTTAGGAAACATTATCAGAGATGCAATTGCAATTTTATTATTTTTTTTGCATCGCATTCTATTATATTGTATTTGAATCTTGCATATTTGTTAGAGAAATGATCCACACTATTTTCTGTTCCCTTATATATATATATATAATGAGAGAGTTCAGACCAAGAAAACACTAAAAATAGACAAAGCTGTCCCAACCATAATAGCTAATAAAATTGATGAAAAAATAACAGGGAAAAGCCAGAGGTCACCAAATAAAGTTAAAAATTTCAGTCAACATTGAACACAACTTGAAAACGTAATAAGGAGAAGCAAGCAACACCGCTAGCTACAACTCACAGTAAAGAAAAACACACAAACACAAAGTCCAAACTTCACTCGGACTAAAATAGCAGACCAAGCTAGATGAGTGAAACAGAGAAGAACCCAGAGTTAGGAACTTGAAGAGAGACATGGGAAGAAAAGAAAAGGCTGTGGAGAGAGAAGGAAAAGGAAAAAATAAAGGAGATATATTGAAGAGTGAGAAAAAAGATGAAAGGATTTGGCTTCAACTTGGATTTAAAGATTGAAAAATGATAACTGAATTTTGAAATAATGGTTTAAATTTTGACAATGGTTCTGCATTGATAAAAAAGAAAAGAAAAGCTGCTAAATCATCCACCTGTAACTGCTCTGAATTTTGACAATGGTTCTGCATGGAAACTTTTGGAGAAATTGATTTCTAGAGCAGCCATGATGTGCTACAGGCTGAAATCTGACACTTTCGAAGTTTTGAAATTTTTAGGATAATTTTGGTGATATTCGGGGACTCATGATGGCATAACCTCTTTAATGATTTGCCACCTTGAATTGCTGTGAGAAACTTCAGAACTTATATGATGTGCAGGAAATTGCATGATTGTCCACATTTATGTCACGAGGCATGTTGTCCAGCTCAATGCCCATCACCTGACAAGTGCACCAAAATGGTACCAATTTCTCACCTCATCATACAACGATTAGTGAAAAGGAACATTTTGTTAATGTACAAAACGTTAATGTTATTTCAGCTTCCAGTTATTAACTTGATTTGTCATACCAACTCTATACAAGGTCTCTATTCATTATCAATGCCAAGCCTTGAAATAGGAGATGCCATGTCAAGAGGGTTTAAGCTGCATATTGTAAAGCAGGCTCTGATCCCAAAGATACATCTGAAAACCATTTTGGACCTGAACTTCTTCCTTGGAATTCTGCTTGCAAAAGTACAGGTCGTGGATCAGGAATTGCATTTGTGTAAACCCAAAGATTTGGAGGTACTATTTATTCCAACTTGAACTGTAGAATTCACGCACCAGAACTCTTTATGCTTGAGCTTATGGTTCCAGATAGTAATATCAATAGCTTTCTCTATAAAAAATTTGAAGCGTCTATTGATTTAATTGCTACCAGAATAAGCTTTATCTTGGTTGGCAGCTTGCTCAACTAATCCAATAGTAGCCTGATTGTTTATGTTATCAGGACTCAGATGTAGAACTAGTTCTCGCTTCCGTTTCTACCAAGGGGTTATCTTGGAAAATGCTTCTCTTCGTAAACTAGTTGGTGCATTTTTACTTTCTAAAATGTGTGGCAATTAAAAGACTCTGTTATTGAAGTACGCTTACTCTAGTGGTTTAACTTATGGTCACTTTACTATAGGTTATGTGATGAAACAGCCAACTGGATATATTTCCATTACAATAAGGAAAGTTATTTCATTAAATGATACATTATGTAGTGCTCAGATGTGGAACTAATTCTCCCTTCAGTTTCTACTACAAGGTTATCTTGGAAAATGCTCCTCTTCATAAACTAGTTGGTGCCTTTTATGTTCTAAAATGTATGGCAATTAAAGACATGGCTTCACCTTTCTTTTATGGAATGCTTAATAAAACCACCATCATGGATATATATTAATTACATAAATGAATCAGCTTTTCTGATGCACAAGCACAATGCTCTTTTTTGGTGCATGGGGGCTCTTGACCTTAAATCTTATAGCATTTTATAATATTTAATGAAGGAAAAGGTTCCAGCCACTAAAATTCATTCACCTAAGCACCAAAATCGGCGTGAACGACTGCAAGAGCAAAGAAGACCTCACAAAATGCGGGTATGTTACTCTTCAGAAGCAAAGACCAATTTTTTTAACTGCTTTTTTGTCATGATGGCTTGTTTTGAAGCAGAAGATGCTGCCGCTATGAGGTGGCTTTTTCTAATAGTCACCCTTGTGGTGACTCTGGTGGCAGCAGCATATTTTGGTAACAAAGGTCTCATGTGCTCTCCGATTGGATGGATGAAGTTGAAGAGCAACGAGACAGAGAACCATGAATCCAATCATTGTCAATGTCGTCACTTGAGTCGTCATCAAGTTACATTGCTTGAACTCTGATAGGCATTTACTGGTTACCATATTTTTTACATCAAATGGCTGTCTGGTGAATGTACTGGGGGGTTTGTTTTCCTTGTTAGCAGTAGTCTTTCCGACTCACATACAAAAGTGGCGAGCATCACCTGATTTGGGCAAAAAAAACAGGCGATTGATTTTGACGTGAATTTGGAACATGGGTGTGAGCATGGACACAACCGATAAGTCTGTCAGTACATATTTGATTTATGAAGCGAGACATGATTCTGGTATTAATGGAAATTGATAAGATGGATTGTTTAAAGTTATTTGTACATATTAGGTCGATTTCATGTGCTGTTGCTACCCAATTTCCTGAATGATTTAATTGATGTGATGTAGATCTTTCTCTATTCGGTGCATCCAAGAGAAAGGGCTTTTTAGCATCGGCCAAACTACCTGAAGAATCAGCCATTTGGCTTTCTCATGGTTTTCCAACAAGAAGCTGGATTGGTCTAAAGTTTTGGTTTGGACAAAATTTACCATTGAAACAAGACTGTAGGGACCAGCACGTGTCTGACTTGCTCGATGTCTTCACTTTTTTCAGCCTTTTTTTTCATCCTATCCAGGTAAAACGTCAGCAAATGCATGAATATAACAGAAGTTGTGCTTGGATGACGGTCAACAGCAGGGATATTGTGAATACGATATGATTGGATTAGATCGTGCCCAGAATATTCGAGTGGTGGTTGAAAGGTAGAAAAGGGAACTCCAAGGTGGTGTCTTTGCCTACGTGTGCGAGAGAGCGGGGATGACAAGTAATGCGAGATGCTATGGTTTGTAACAAAATCAAATCAAATCAATTACTTGTTTTTTCAATAGATAGAGTCAGGGTGAACAGTTAAACCCTATCGGATCTCAAAATTAATTGCAAAATTCACAATTGCAAATTTAATTAGAGAAGGGTCTTGTCACCACAATATCGATGGGTGGTTTTACACAAGCTATAAATCACTGCATGGACGTGAAATGCAAGAGCACTTGTGTTCATCATTAGGCACATGTGATATGTTTGCAGCTCATTCTTGCCAGCCCATGAACTGTTAATGCATCCCTTTGGCCTGTAGTCGTCTCCAGTGACTGTTTTCCGGTACCATGAAAATTATTTGGCCTAATCATGCAGTTAAATGTTGTTTAAATACATATGGGAAAAAAAACCACATGGTGTTGTTGGGAGGCTGTACATAAATAAGGGCAGAATTTTTTCACCTTGGATTGAGTACTCTCAATCTGTATGTCCTCTTGCTACAAAACGATTCACTGACAACGAATTTCAAGAACATCTGCTTGTCTTTTTTTGGTTTTTGCTTTCTCCAATGAGAATGCGCTGTTAAATTACAAGTTAGAGCTGCTATAAAAAGATAATGATGGTGATTGACAGTTTTTTTTTATGTACCTTTGTCCAACGAATTGGATAAATAGTGTAACTAGCACCCAAAAAAAAAAAAAAGGAAGAAGCCCAAGTGACATATTTTTTTATATAAAATAATATAATTGGATCTTATACATTTAACAATTTGGCATTTTAAAACCATAATATTTTTTTGAATATTATTATTGTAAATCATGATATTAATTATAATTTTTTATTTGAGTTTAAATTTTAATTAAATAAACCATGATATTAATTATAATTTTTTATTTTTTATTTGAGTTTAAATTTTAATTAATATCATATTTTGAAAATATAATAATATTAAAGTATATTATTTTACTGAATCTTTTTAAACGATGCTTTGGCGTCAAAATTCTACATTTATTATGCTAATTATGTAATTTATCCCAATGAATTAATGTTGTTTTCCGGTTACAATCCAATTTATAAAACAGATGCTGAATAAAAATACAGCTTCAGCACCGCATATTTTCAGCCACTGCTGAAACATCTAAAATCTAAATCCTCAGGGAGCCATATTGTCAACCAATGCTAAAACATCTAAAATCAAAGTAAATAAACACCAATGTATGAGTATGAGGACTGAGGAGAGAGTTGTTCACCGACCACCACCGATAAGAACCCCCATCTGCCCCCGCAACATTTAATCTCACTTACTGCATAATTAATTAGGGTATTAACCGCAGCGTTCACATTAATGTGTACAAGCCTTCACATTGATGTTTACATTTGGATACCAATAAGAGCAGTAAATACAACCCATTTGGGCATTAAATTCGCGAGGCACCGCATCATAATTCGTCGGCATATCTTCTTTTTTATTCATCAAACGTGTATCCCTTACACACGATCTTCCATGGACGTCGTCTCTCTTTCGGGACTCAATCTCTTACAATTCATTTGAGCCTTCATGCAACGATGTGTGTCTCGTACTAGTTTGTTCCGACTGTGAATTTCTGTCTAACCCTGCTTTAAATCAGTATTTTACATCCAAACCATGCATTTATAAAGATCTCATTCAGCAATCTTTATTCAAATTACTAAATAACACTTATCAATGTATACTTATACTATACACGTAAGGTCGGTAGATGTCGATCGTATGGATTTTGTTTTTGTAAAGTACAGTGCATGTTTGGTCCAAACACGTGCCAGGGAAATAATGATTCATCACTACCAGAACAAAGGATAAATTAGGCCATTAGTATACAAAATAAAAAGAAATTGCGAGTCATCATTTTGAGCCGTGATATTTCATTTGCGATAACAAACAAAATTTTAATTGATTTTAGAAAATTTGCTTGGTGGAGTATGTTCATATTTTTCCTGTGGAATTTTGAGCCTTCTTGCATCAATGTGTGTTTCGTACTAGTTTGCTCCGACTGTGAATTTCTGTCTAACCCTGCTATTAGGGTTTCTAACCAGAGCGTGCAAAGCATAAATCTGACACATGATCTTTTTTTAATGGTTCCATTTATTTAATTTCTCTGTATTGTTAGGTTGACAAGTCTTTGCAAAGTATGGAAGAAGAAGCTGGGCGTATTTACAAGGATGAGCATGGAATGCTTCTGTGAAACGGCATCGACTAGAGATGCAATGTGAGAACTCGGTCTTCGCTTTCCTTTAGCATTCTCATAGTTTGCCTTTTGTAGGCCCGATCTACCCTTCATATTCTGACATTCTCACCTGCTTCAAAGTTTAATCCCCCTCTTTTCTCCATTCCATCACTGTCTTCTAACACCTCCTCCTCACCAACACTAGAATAGTACCCATCGCCATCGTCATCGGTGTCATTGATGTGATAATCATTGTCGTCCAAAAAAGAGACCCGGAATTATAATAACAAGGGATGGGTCGGAGGTGAGAGAGACGGCAAAGATAAATTAAGTTGAGGATTTGTACAGGAAACGAAACAGAAAGAGACGGTGCAAGGGACAAAGATAAAGCCGGGGATTCGTAGAAGAAAGCAAAGATACTGCATTAAAGAAAATGAAAGAAAAAATATAATTGGTGTCGCTGATTTTATTGTACTTCTTAATTGTAATATCAATTTAAATATCATGTTTCTCAGTAACAATATATAAAAAAGAAACTATTTCATCAAAAAAAATATTCAAAATATATTATTCTTTAAAAAAAATTAAAATTACTATGATAATTTTACAAAGAGTCGCAGAACAAATCCCTCTCCTATTGACTCCTTTCGTTAATTGAATTTTCAAAGTCAAATTCAAGGAATACCAAACGATAACTCGAAGCAATGTGCCAAGGTCCAGAAAAAGGACTACATTTTGCTTCTGCTTCTTGCCCTTTTCAGGGTTGGACCCATACCAGAAAGTCTGCTTCGAAAAGAGTTCTGATAGCGGTGGTCGGTGTAGGGAAGTACACAGTGAAAAGCATCGTCGTCGACTTTGGTGCCACATGTACAACCCCGTATGCCTAATTTTGTCAACTTTATGTCCTTTCCTAACATCACATCGCAAATGGACAAATCGTCTTCTGCAACCTTTTTTAAGAGAAAGGATGATCAGTCCAATTTGTCAACGAGAAAACTGGGTGAACTCTTCCGACGACACCGTGTTTGTTAGTGTTTAAAATACTGTTTCTTAAAATTTTAATTTTTTTATTTAAAATTATTTTTTTATTTTTTTAAAATTATTTTGAGGTATTAATATTAAAAATATAATTTTAAAAAATATTATATTAATTTATTTTAAATTAGAAAAAACATTTTAAACAAACTGTTGCTGTAATGCCAGACATACATGCATCCTACTTCGAGAAGAGGAACAATGAGCAAAGGGGCTTTTGTTTAACAATCTTAAACTATTAAGAAGAAAAGGAATATTCTCCATAAAAATAAATCATGTAATCATTCTCCTTGCGGTCAGTGTTAACAAAACCCTACATTACAGCTCGATGTTAGATAAATGCTCCTAATTCCTCTACAATTGAAAAGGGAAAAAAAAAAAAGGAAAGGAAAAATCCTAATTCTTTACAGGAGCCCAAATGTATAGCCAATTAAATTATCCAAAAAAATATTTGTTCTTCTGGGTTTGAAAATTGAAATTTCAATCTGCAACAATTGATACTCTACCACTAGAGATGCTGCCATGGCTACTACCATCACAGAGGGACAAGGCTCGCTCCAAATTAGCAACAATGTCTGTCATAGTTGGCCTATCTTTCCCTTCCAAATTCACACAATGCATTGCAGTGTATCCAACCAGCTCCACTGCTTCTGCTTCATTAAGCTCCGGCGGTCCAACCCTGGGATCCAAAATCTTACCCAATTCATTAACCATAATTTTAGGCACCGCAAAATCCACTATACTTGTTGGTGTGCCTCCATTATCATCACCCTTGAAAATGGCTCTTTTTCCAGTCAGGAGTTCTAATAATACCACACCAAGGCCATAGACATCACTCTTTGCAGTTAATACATTTAGGCCATAGTACTCAGGATCAATGTACCCAACTGTTCCTGCTGCCTTTGTTGGTCTGTAATTGTAATCCTGTTCTGATTCAGGACCCATCAACGACAATCCAAAATCAGAAACTCTTGCTGTCCAATTCGCATCGAGTAATATATTTGATGACTTGATGTCTCTGTGAATTATCGGTGGGACTGCATAGTTGTGAAGATATTCAATTCCTCTAGCAGCATCAAGTGCAATCTTGATCCTCATTTTCCATGAATTTATCACACTGCTACTCTTTTCAATGTTGTTCTTGTCATGTAAATGGTCATAAAGAGCTCCATTCTTCATGTAATCATAAACTAGAAGCCTCTCATCTCCATCTTCACAATACCCAACAAGCCTTACCAGATGTTTGTGGTGAAGCCTTGACAAGAACGCCAATTCTGATTCAAAAGCACTCTCTTTCTCTTGAAACTTCTTCATCTTCTGGCCTGTTTCCCCTCTCTTAATCGCCACTTCGCGGCCATCTTTCAATTTCCCTCCATAAACAACACCAAAGCTCCCTGCACCAATCTTGTTCTCTACTGAAAAATTGTTGGTAGCAGCAGCAAGTTCAGCAAGACTAAACTCCTCAGCTCTATCCCCATGCTTTGATGACGTTCCACTCCTCTGACGCCTCATCACCCTCGAGCTCTGGCGCCTAATAGTTGATGATCTCGAATTTAAACCACTATTATTTGATGTCACGCCACCAATGGAAACAGCACTAGTAATTGTAGGCTGAACTGAATTATGCACTTTCTTCTTACCAAAACAAACTCCAGTCCACAAGCAATAAATAATCGTGCAAATTCCGGCAAACCCTCCTACTGATCCAACAATAGCAAATGCCAATAACCCCGTTGTCAATTTATTGGACGGAGATGACTTGGGCGCTATCGACGGGGGTGGTGCTGATGGCAACGACGTCGGAGCCAACGGTGTTAATATCGAAGCATTGGGACCACAAGGCTTGCAAATGTTCCCTGAACCAGAACACAACTTCTCAGATCGCGGATACAAACCGCATTCACTACAAGAATAGTGCACACATGGCCCTGGTAAAACCTCGCCCAACGGAAGCCGGGTCCCTGAAGCATTAGGCCACCCTGGTCCCCAACACATAATCGAAAAATCACGCGAAACCAATCCACAGCTAAAATTAGAACCTGAAACAATAGACTCAAAGAAAACACCCTGAATCTCAGTCACATTATATTCACCACCACCTCCCCAACAAACAACAGATCCATTATTCCTTCGAATCGCACAGCTATGAGTAGCCCCAAGAGCCAGCTGTGAATATTCCAATACATTATTTGAAGGGACATTCAACTGACCAAAACTATTATCCCCTTTGCACACCAAAACGCCACTAGAATTGACACCACAAGCATGTAAACCACCCACTTCAAGATTCAAAAT